CTAATGCAGACTTTGTGGTCAAGAGTGCTGATTCGAGGTCACGTTCTGATCACTCTTAGCGCTCTTCCTCTCGCTGTCTGCTTCGGCGAGCGTCGCACGCTAACGACCTGGGTACGGCATGCCCTAGGCACTGGAATCTGGTTATATCAAGCACTTGCATCAGTGTTTGCCCGGCAATACCGAGTCTACGTCCTAATTCCGCATTGCCTGTCCGCTTATCATACCAAACTCTTTTTGTGTAGCGTGAATGGCGGTTTTCGAACACAGATGCTCTCCATTTATTTTCATAATCATCCTTTCATCTACTTATGAGTAGTGTCTATTCAGGGATACCGGTGTCCATGTCTAATCAGATAAGTGTTGTCTGTGCCTTGAAGGTGCACGATTTCTGCNGACTGTAGTGAAATGCGCACAAGGAATATACATGAGGCGCAGAAGCAAGAGAATGGATTGACACGTAGCGTTCGTAATTTCAGGTTTGACGGTTTTGGACTCAATTAGAAATCTGAGTGAGAAAAAGTAAGATGCTTTGGTACCGGAATAGAGATGCATATAGTGAGATCCAATGAATAATGTGCCGACACATTTATCCAAGTCATCTTGCGGGCATTGTATTAGAACTTGAGGACACATAGCATACATCTGAATTAAATGTTTCAATGGTTCTATCTAAGGCAACTTGTTGACCGTTCTGAAGCGGAGAATTTACTTTTATCAACGCCACGACTTTTAGGTGGTTGATCCTATTGGTTAGATGCTGAGTGATATCCCGTGGCTGGCGTAAACAGGAGGTATCCCGTATTATTTGGGAGTGAAAGGAACAATTAGACAGATGAGGAGGCTTTTCCATGTAAGTGCCTAGGACTTAAGGGCACGGCATACTTTACTTTAGTCCGCACTGGCAAAACAGTTTCTCTTTGAGAATCCTAACCGGAGCTTTTAACTCAAAAGTCCGACATGCAAGGCGGTGGGGCGTAGAAGTGTGGCAGAGGAACTCGTGTGGGAACTTCTAGAGACCAGTCATGCAAGGTCCTTGGGTTTCGGTCCAGTCTGTTGTTCGCTGGTGCGTTGATTGTCGGTCCGCTGTTCGGTATTGGCTCTTAGTCTGATGCACACAATGAGACCATCAGAACGTGAACGGGATATCACCTTATTGGCTGGAGGCTGCCCAATGAAGTGCGAAGACCTCTTCCAACTTCGGGAGGAAGCCCTAGGTACCTCAATTGTGCATCCACCTAGCCGCGTGATATTTAGACCGGAGTTTATTCACCAAAGTGACCTCTCCAAATGCGAGAGCGGATAGTCAGAGGGAGCCAGGAGGTATCCCATCAGTTGGCCTTGTGAGACTGAGCTTCATCTGGCCTCCACCCGTTGATCTTTGAGACTGCGGCTGTGAAAAGCCATATTGTGCACCTCGCACGGTCATGGAGGCATGCAGATACACAAACAACGCTTAGTGAAATGCGCTGATACCGAATCCGTTTTGAGTCGCGATTCGAAAAAGTACAGTCTGCTAATTTTAAAGAATTTATGGTAAATATTTTGAGACCACCTGAGGTTGTGATCGATCACTCTGAAAGGCACCTCACATGTTGTGACCCACGAACGACATTAACAACCGGATCATCACGGTCCACGATTGGATGAGTCTACGATCGGAAAATAATCCGACCCACGTTCCGTACCAGTTAGCGAAACCTAGTGCAACCTCACGAGAATCGAAACACTCTGCGAAGTACGATCCCGAGACCCGAACAAGAAGAACAAGGAAGACGGACCTTCAGACGAGGGCGTATTTGGCTCGACCCAAACACGTTTAGTGAACGGTTCGTCTGTTCGTATACGTGTTTACGGACGGTTATCAGTAGTCTGAAAAAATTAGCTCGAATATCAACATTTGAGGAAATCAACTAATCAGGGGGCGAACATGAAATGAAATGAGGTTTTTTGGCCCGTAAAATCAAAAATTTAAAATTTATAAAAATTATTAGAAAAATTGACTTTTCCCTACCATCACACAGGAAGTATGATCAAGTTGTTTCCCATTAAATAATGCTTGTGAACAGAATTCCATATGGTTAAAATAGGGTTCATGTCTAATTGGGGAAAATAGTTTTGAAGGGTTCTAATCTAAGTTTTCGATATCCGGGGCTATTCGCAAATACGCGAGAGGTAACGTGCGGTAGGCTAGCGAAAGCTTCCACGTCAGAACTGGGTGAGTCGAAAAACACGTGAATCATATATTCAGACAAGTCCCTTTCGAAATAAAAAGAGAAAAAAAGAGGAATGGTGATAATACAGACCCTTTGTCAAGTCAAGTGTGGAGAATGTGATATTGGAAACTTCTCCACGGTGAATTGTAAAAGTATGGAAGCTCCAACTCTGTGATTTCCTTTGCGCAGGTCGCTTGAGTCTAGCAGCCTGATTGAGCAGTCACATGCATGTATACAGCCTATTTATACAGGTTTTCAAGTGGGACCGCGTAAACCGGGAGTCTGTCCGGGTACAACCCCAATTTGCATTCGTCTATCTCGGCCATAATGTTCCTTTTGGTGAGTGCGTTTGCCTTAGAAAGACGGATAACGTTCTTGAGTAGTTCTCACCTTGGCAACGTTGGGCATCCGGATGATCAAACAAACTTGTTCGTTCTCTGTCACTATAAAATGGCAGGAAGATTATATAAAAACCAGTTCTTTCCCAATCAGATCGTTTCAACCGCGTGTATGGAATCATCGTATGTCTGTCCTCAAATCTGTCGTTTGATCTCGTTTTATTTGTCATACTTCCCGAATTGCTTTGTGTGCATCCAAAAGGATTTCACATGAGACGCGAATTTGGACTAGTCCCAGTTTCCCATTGGACCAGATCTATTCCCGGTTTTCGAGACGGTGCTCTCCTCTCATCCATATCACTTTTGGGCAATGTTGGTCACAAATCCGCTGTTCATCCGTTCGATTCACTCCTTTCCCCCGCTTGTTTTGCGGACTCCAAGCATCAATATCTTGCAAAGTCCGTCTAACAATAGCTGTTTTTGAGTAAGCCCTGAAATATGTCATGCTGTCCCTAAATGAACTTTACTTCCCCTTTATGATATCTGTCTTCGAAACAGCTTGCAGATGCCACTGATCTTCGCCGTAAGCAGAACTCTATGTTACCTGCCGGGTCTCCAATGAGGGTATGCCACGGATCTGTTGGTAGACTGTTGAGGAGGTGACCCTGGGATCGCCAAAAAGTGGTAACAGACAATTATATGCAGTAATCATCTTCCAAATCTATTACGATTCTTTCCCATGAATCGGAACTGCACCGTTCTGTTGTACACAAGTTTGAGAAATGTGAACAAATCTAATAAGAACAGAACAAAACAAAAAGCTGTGGTACTGTTGGTAAAATGGGCAGGTTTTGATCGCATGTCATTTTAAAATTCTTGTTTCGTTCGAATGTGACAATTTGTGATTGTGTTCGTTATGATCTGACTGGTGTATTTGACGGATTTTGTTTCACATCTGTAGATCCTCCAGGACCGCATGCACCAGATCGTCGAGGCATGGCGTCTTGCAAAACAATATCTGAAAGATTTGGATCAACGAACTAATCGTACGCGCCGACTACGTGCCCGAAACCCCGGTCAAGATGCCCCTTCATCCGGTTCGGTGGCGGCGGGATCGAAACTGTCCAACACGATGGTCTCAGTGACCACCACCACCACTGCCACAACAAACTCTGAACTCAGCTCGGGTAGCGATCAGCATCGTGTGGTTGCGCCAATCTAACTTAGCGAGTGTTCAATCCGATAAGCCCCCTGTCCAACACATTTTTTTAACACCCAAGCTCCCTTTTTTAATCCCAATAATGTCAACAGGTGCCTTTGATGTCATGATTCATCACCGGCTCGCGTTATTTCTCAACGAGAGATTTGTTCACAAGATAATTTATTATTATTATTATTATTATCTCTTCCGGACTCTGTTGCATCACCATTGTTGTCTTGCACTTTTTCATGTTGTCAGTCTTTTCTGTGTGGCGTCGTTGTCGTTCTTGTGTTGTTTTTTCTCTCTAGCTTGTTATGCTCCCAATTTTCAAGCTGTAACACGAGTCTTGTACATACTGATTCTCGCCTGATGTATATCAATCCCCTGTTTTCCATAATAAAATCATTTCTTTTTCGTCTGGTGCGCATTTCGTGGAACAACAACCAGGAGGATTAGTCAAGTAGTATATATATATATATCCGGTGACAAAAAAATATTTTCCAAGTACTGCAAAATACATTCAGTATGTTTAGTTGGCACAGCCAGCCGTGTTCTAACTTCCTCCACAATGCATCGGGGGAAACCAGTAGAAATCGGATTCTAACATTGCATCATCATCGTACGGCGAGATACAGTGAAGCGAGCTTCACTGATCGCTGCCAAGCTCACAATGTACACAAAACAAATGATAAAGCAAAAGATGAAGAGGGGTTAGGCCCAATTGGAGAGAGGCAAAGAAAAAGAACCTCTATGTTCAACACATAGAGTACACAATCTAAGTGATCATGACAACAAGAACGCCACTGTTGTCGTTTAGTCGCCATATCCTTTAAAGTCTCTAGTCAACCAGTTTTAGAGTCTTTCGGACCCCAACCTGGAAAGACGGGAGACACCGAATCTATCCAATCGCTCTGTGCATTTCTTCATGCCTCGCTTCCA